TTTATATATATATATATATATATATATATATATATATATATATATAATGATGAAAACACTGAATGCTTAGGTATTGTCATGGTGTACTGAGTAAAGCAGTAAATAGAATACCCTGGCTAACATTAATAGTAAAGAGCAGTACGAACATCATGAAAATGATAATTATCTCATGGAAACCCATTTCAATGCTTCTGCTCTGCTAAAAGTAAAGGCTAACATATAACTTTAACACAGTAAACCCCAAGGGACTAAGGATATACCTCAAAGGTACAATGCTTGCTTGACATATGCAAGGTGCTAGGTGCAACCCCCAGCACTGGAAAAATAAGAGAGAAAACTCCAATTTATATTTGACTACAAGTTTAAATTAATACTTAATATAATATTAATTGTGTGATATCTGAAGTTACTAAGCTAAACAAAAGTCAAAAAGACATGCTATACTGTTCGTGTTCTACTTTTGTCTGAAACAATGATGAAAATATAAGACTGTACTGTTTTGTCATTTTCCCCTCCAAAACTATTTGCAATGCCAAATACACGATTTCTCAAAACATATTCTTTTGATATAATAATTGTCAAGGATATCAAGAATTATGAGATAACAGTTTAACAACAATATATGAAGAAGAGGAGCTCATCAAATTATCTTAACCATCAGACTTGACTTCGTCTTTATCTTTAACACTGCAAATAAGGATACTGAAATTAGTATAAGTAATACATATCAAAACAATTGAGTTGTTTTAAATATGATAAAACTGATCCCTGTCATAGCAGAGAACTATGGTACTTCTTTAGTTGCTTGATTATAGAGGCAAATAAATTAAAGAAATAGTCTCTATAATATTAATGTGCATGAAATCAACAAAAATAAACATAAACCTAATTTGCCTTGTAAAATTCATTGTTATTTGAAGTGACTTTCAACACACCAAAAGTTTCTCTAGTAGCCCAGCTGAGCTAAATCCAAAGTAATTATCCATATTTTCTTTTCTGGATAACTACTATATGACCTATATAATATCAAAGTAATGCTTACAGTTCCAACAAATCATAATGTAAGTCTTTTCAAAGGCTACTTCAGATTACAATTGGATCCCTCCTTAAAAGATGATCCTATCTGGAGCAATGGTTTATCAGTTAAGAGCAGTGGTTGCTCTTCCAGAGGACCAGTCCCATTCCCAGCATCCATATGGTGCCTCATAACTATCTGTCATTTCAGTCCTTGGAGATCTGACACACTTCTGGATTCTGTGGGCACCAGGCATGAATGTAATGCACAGAAACACAGACAGGCAGAACACTCGTGCACATAAAAATAAATAAAATTTAAATAAGGAATCTTAGTTGGGACAGCATGAAAAAGACTGATTTTCTGTGGTTATTGTGGCTGTTATAATAAGTTATGATAGAGTCTAAAACATACACACACACACACACACACACACACGGAATTAAGATAACTAAAGAACTAATTTTTACTTTAAATTAAATTCATTATCTCTTTGCTTTACTAATTTCAAAGCAGGTTTTGCTTACAAATGAAACAGAAATGATTTTGTGTATGTAGTTGTAACTATAGATGCATTATATTTTAAGGATCTCTGTTATCAAATAATGCCCTGTTGACAGTCTATACAGATGTCTATAAAAGTCATAATCACAAAGTGTTTACCAGTTTTTTTTAACAGATGGATATTTTATTATCTGTTCACAAATGATAAAAAAGAATTCATTTCTTCATTCTTGTATTTTTTCTGTTAGCTTATTGAATTAAAAACTAAAAAAAATGGTAACCTTAAAACCTTTTTCTGGTTAAATATAGCAAATGATAAAGATTTTTAATTAAAAACTACAAGCCTTTTAAAAAGGCTATTAAGTAACATGTTCAAATATTTTCTGTGCATTGTTAAATTTGGAAGTGTAATACAGATGTGCAATATTTCAAGAGTCAAATATATTTAAGTGTGAGGAACTCACAGTAAGGTAAAGCAATTTCAAGGCTTATTTTAAAATTTTAATATTGTGTACATTAAATTTTTATATACTCAAGATTTCTTCTAAATCTTGAACATGTAAGTCTAAATATAATATATATTAATCTAATATATCAATCTTCTAAACCTAAGGATAGGTACATCAAAAGTCCTGTGTCTCTTATGCCATAATGTCCTGTTAATGTTACAAGTCTGATTAGAGGTTCAAATGGATGTTCTCAACAGTGCTCATTTTTTGCATTAGTCATTTACAAATTTGATTCTGAAAAGTGAAACACATCACTACTGATACTAAAATAGTTTCAATTTAGGCCAATCCACAAACTCATTTTATTTTCAATATGCTCCATATCCCAAAACAGTTGCAATAATCCATTTGTCGTGAATTCTCTTAATGAAATGGATAGTCTTTTTCAAAATTTTTAGCTACTAACAGATGTATACTAGGATAACTGTGAAGCTTGTATGAAGGGTGTTAAGTTTAAACTGCTTAGTTTTAAAGCAAGATCTTTAATTACATTGTGGATGAAGATATTCATGCACATTTTAAACTAGTAAAAATGACATAGTTCTCAAAGATTAAAGAGGCTTATAATAAGAGTTAGGGTCATGCTGGGCAAGGAACAATATCAGTTTCTCTTCTGCCAAAAATGATGGAATTCTTAAAGGTTTTAAGTCTATTAGACATATAATAATACAGTAATGTATTTTCCATTCTAATATTATTTATATATTTGTCTGTATTTCATTTATGACCATGCCTTTTCAAATATTATGTTTAAGTTCACTTCTTACTAAAGGAAAGTATTATCACTGGGTATACTGAACACAAATAAACAATGTCCTCTCAATAATGTACAGAGAAGAAACTTCTCAAACTTTCTTTATGTAGGTGGAATCACGCTGCAAGAAGGCCTTTGAGTGGAAAGGCTTAGGTAACATGCGTATAATAAGAATTAAGAAACATGCCAGGCACCTATTCAACTAAGAAAGGAACACCTTTGGATTTAAAGGCATGGTGTTCATAAAGGAATGCCTTTACATCAGGTTAAACCTATGCCATTAATTCTAGGAAACAAACAAAAACCTTATAACTTTTTTTCTTGCCTAACACACATGCATGCACTTCTTCTGCTTTTTTTTTTTATTGTGCTTTAGTTGCTACTGTTGCTTTAAAATGCTGAAAGTGTGCAATCTACTGAGTAAATCACCTGTGCTTCCTTTCAGGTTTAGCACAGATCCTTTACAGTGAAAACTATAAGGAGGTGACATTATAACATCTTTTTTCCTCTTCCTCTTCTTGCATTACCTGGTGGGGGGGGGTCACTATGAAAATTCAATAGCTACTTTTGGGATACTTTTGCCTCTGATATTACCCATTAGAGGTGTTGCCTCTGGAAACTGCTGTAAATTTACAGAGATGAGATGATCAGATAAAACTCCCGTTTGCTTTCAATGGAATTCGTGACTATAGCACTAGTGAGAAGTCTCTAAAGTGCAAAAAGCTTCCTGGACGGAAGTCAAAGCTATATAATGAGACAAAATATCATGTTCTCTGTACTGAATGCTGTTTAACTAACACGACACTCAATAATTTCAGAAGCCCAAGAAGCAGTCACCAAATCATTTAAGATCTCTAATTCCTCTTCTGTATATTCCTGTCAGTACTCAGGGATTAAAGACTATGAAGACGGAAGAGGACTCCAGAATTATAGTTAACACCGTATTCATGCTCCACATGACACACAAATACTATCTAAAGAAGTAGGAAAGTAGAAACTCACCACAGTAGTCCAAGAAAACAAAACAAAAACCCTCTTAAACGCGTAAAACACTCTGCTCATGACTCTCCCCAGCCCCTCTCCATACCCTCTCAGCCCTTCAAACTCACTTCACCACCTGCTGATCTCTTCACAGCCGACCAGTCAAGGAGCAACTGGGAGGGATGGAGGGAGGGGTGCTAGAGTCGGGCTTCTGAAGAAGCCTGCTTGGGAAGCCCGAAGGAGAAAACGGGACAGGGGGTTAAAGAGAAAAACTGAAAGAAATAAAAAAAATGTTGCAAAAGACACAGAGGAATAAGGGAAGAAGGAAGGAAGAAAGAATGAGCTTCAGGAAAAGAGCCCAGAAAGCAAGCTCCTGCAAACAGCTGGCAAGGCTGCTGCTGACTGCTGCTGTCCAACAGCTACTAGGTGCTGAAATGACTTGTCCAACACGCCCCTCTAGTCCCACTCACCCACTCCACAGACTTCCCTTCCTCCCAGGCTCACCCCCCTCCCCTGTAGCGTAAAACCATTTCCATGGCAACCTGTCGTCATACAATTTAAGGTGGTCCGTACTTTCGAGTTATGTGAGTTTTTCATAGCTTAGGCAGGGCGATCTATTACTTCCAGTCTCCTTTAGCACTGAACTTTCTCTGATATGATAATATTGCCCTTTCTCCCTCCCCAACCTGAAAATCAATTCTGCCTTTTTCCCTTGCAAATGCTGATTGGCTTCATGGCTTTTCTATCCCCCCCATAACCCATACACACACACACACACACACACACACACACACACACACACACACACACACACACACACACACGGG